CGTAGGTGTACAACATGCAGACACAATGGTTCAGGACAGTCACATCGTAGCTCACACCAACACAATCAGTCAGAGCACATCGGTCACAAATTCTCCCATACTGCATGATAGCAGTTGTGAGCACAGCGTAAGCACTGTCCGTGTTTCTCCATTGTCATCATTCACACCCACTGACGGCCAAACATTGTCTGCGACTCCCTTGGCTTCATCAACTCCAGCCCAGATACATGAAACAGTTAGGCCTACCCAAGACAGCACAACATCTCCCATGATCAAAGACATAGAAACCACCAGCCATGCAATGAGTAAGACAGAGACGCATCCACTCACTAAAAAAGAAGAACAATTAACAACAAAACTTAAAAAGAGAATAAAACCTATAGCCTACGCCATGATTCGTATGGAGTTATTGTCTTCTAAGTGAGGGAAATATGTGGATATATATTTACGACAATGTGATGCATAGATGAACCATTTTGAGGTAACACAAACTGCAGTAGCAGTGAAATTTGGTGAGTAGATACCCTTATGTGTTACGTTTGTGTCCCTTAAAGATGAACTAATCCTGACACTCAGTTTTCTAATTATCGGCGTTCATTACATCATAACTAGAACCGATATCGGGAATCAGACATGACTATCTTGCACTGTCTGTTACAACTAAACAGACCAATGCTGATTATCTTTGTTTTTGAAATATCATGAAAAAGACTTGGAACTACTGATACCCGCATGCAGTGATGTCTTTAAGTCAATGTTATTGTGTTAATTAGGGCTCAATTCAGAATGAAAAATACGATTTTCTAAACCTCCCGCGCGGTCACGCTGACCGAAGAATGCCCACGCGATGACCCCGTTCACCGTCACAGGTCAGCGCGCCAATGGTTACCTGAGTTCTCAACTAAAGTATCCTGTTTCTGTGCGCCGTGTATGGAGAGCTCTGTGAAGGAGACAGAAAAAGAGACAGACAGAAATTGCCAGTGTGATGAACTGCCAATACAATTCACGGTTGTCAATACAGTTCATTTTTGTAGTGGACTATAAAACACTTCACTGGCACTTTTAGGTTGAGGCAGCTCAAGAAAAGCACACAACAGAACATTTTCCAGTGAGCACAGGTATGTGTTATATGAATATGATTTGTCATTGCATGGATCCTGATTTTTTTCACCAGATCCTGATGGGTTTTTTTGTTTGTTTGTTGTTTCCCCCCACCTACCCCCAGAGATTCTGATTTTCGTATTTCATAGAGGCAGTTGTGCATCAACCCCATCATCAGTTTTATTACCTCTTCAGTTGGCTGTGCAATCATCGTCATCCTCATAGCTTGCGTGGTACTCTTCTGCTGCCGGAAGCGTTTTGAGGGAGCCGATTACGAGACGGAGGAAGCAGTTGGAGCAGAGTACGCAGATAATCCCGATAGTGCTGTTGTCTATAACCAGACGGGTCTGCCCAACATGGCCAAGAGTTATGAGTACTTTATGTAGTGAGGACGAAGCCTTGGTAGTTTGTTTGTTAAAGATGGTTTGTGTGTGTATGAGTTTTGAGTGTGTGTGTGTGTTTCTGAATGTTGATAGAGCCTGCTGTTTGATTATTGCAGAATGTGCAGTGTTGATGTGTGTGTGTAGTGGACAGGCATGGGTATGTATGTGTGTGTGTGAGTGTAACAGTGTGGCCGGGGTGCTTGTTAGCGTACGTTAGAAGGAAGGAAATGACTTCTGAGATCCATGGCAAAAGAGATTGCCAGTACTTACCCCTCTACTGCCTACATCAAGAAATTTCTACTTTCAGGAAAATATGATACTTTACGCTCTTGTTATAAAAGCAATGTAAATAAAGTATTTTAAGCTAGTTTATTGATTTATTAAACCCCCCCCCCCCCCCCCCCCCCCCCCCCGTACACACACACTTGCAGGTAAATTACTTGATCAACAAATTCATTGTAAAGTTGAAAACTTAGCTGGAAGTTGGGGTTTTTTAATTTAATTTTTTTTTTATTGGAATTTTTTTTCATGTTTTAACCATTTTGTTTGAGGTGGGTATTTCTCATTTGTCTTACTTAATTAGTAAGTGTAAGTTTGTATGGATGCGTTTTACACAACCAGCCACTGGTAGACCAATTTAATTGTAAAGTAGTTGTGTACATAGTTCGCATAGCAGGCGTGGGTGAATGTATTATCTGAACCAGAATGGGACGAATGAAGAGTGTGAGAGGAATTTGTAATTGTAATTGCTTGACACGAAGAATATATGTGTGTCTGTCTTTTACAACTTGTGTGCTTAAGTCTGTTGTTTGTATATATATATTTCTCACTCGTATTCATAATTTACAAAAATAAGACGAGATGGTAGCCATTTTATACATGTATATGTATTGCCATTGCCCCCTGAAGTAGCATTTTTAGATACGGACTAAAGGAATTCAGTTATGGTACAGTAAAGGGCTATACTTTTGTCAAAAATCACAGTCCTTGCTTGATCTCTTTCCACTAATTTCCTGTGCTCAATGCTGTGCGTCACTAACCCTTTCTCTTTAATCTTGTTGTAAGAAAATCACAAAATGTCTGTCCCTCCTTCTGTGTTATTCTCTCTCTCTCTGTCTCTGTCTCTCTCTCTCTCTCTCTCTCTCTCTCTCTCTCTCTCTCTCTCTCTCTCTCTCCCTTTCTCTTTCTCTCTCTCTCTCTCTCTTTCTCTCTCTCTCTCTCCCCCCCTCTCTCTCTCTCTCCCCCCTCTCTCTCTCCCCCCCCTCTCTCTCTCTCTCTCTCTCTCTTTCTTTCCCTCTTCCTCTCTCTCTGAGTGGATGGTTGGTGAAGGAAGGTTACGTTGAAAAATAAGCTAATAGTTTGATTGCCGTTCTTGTGTTTATGTCCAAGTGCCTTTGCCCTTCTGGAAGGATCTTGAGCGTGAGAGAGTGTCACTTCAGTTGCTTTGAATATAGCAGAATTATTTCCCAACTTCTTTGAGATCTACTGTCCTTAGTCTGGCGTTGACAAAAGCCCAACATACTACTGATATACTATACTAGTAGAATTACATAAAGGATGATCAAATATTGACCCACGAAAAGAACAATTGTCTTTATTACCACTGTTTGAGGAGTTATGATTGAAACTTGTATTTATTTATTGGGGGGGGGGGGGGGTGATTAGTGGAAAAATAATTATTCTTAATTATAATTGAGTTGTTTTCTTTTTCTTTTGTTGTTTTTTTTCCGCTGTTTCTTTGTTTGTTGTTGCTTTTTTTTTGGGGGGGGGGGGGGGGTGGAAATTTAAATTGTATTGACAGAAGTGAGGTTAAAAGTAGTAGCATTGAGTATATGTCAGCTAATTATATTGCGTAATTTTCTTGGGCTGTTTTGTCACTTGAGACGATTTTGTTTTTTAAGGGTCATATATTTTAGTGTGATTGAGATCCCCTACGTGGCCATATGTCCTTCATTCCTTTGTCCAGTGACAGATAAACGGTTTCCTGTGTATTTGGGATATTTCTCGTTTAAACATTTTTCAACGATCACCTTGAATTATTGATGTTTTGGGAGGCAGCCACTGTGTTCAGTCGCTGAATTACATTGTTTCTTTGTAAAGTTTTTTGTAAGAATATTTTTCATGCATTCCAAATCCTAAAAAGAATACATGTTCTCTGAATTTCTTTCTGAATTTTTGGATATTTTAATAACGTTATTTCAGCCTTTTTGGGTGCTGGTTTTTTTTGTGGGGGTGGGAGGGGGGTTATTTGTTTGTTTTTTATTTATTCAGGGTGACTGCCAGGCCCAAATTACCCCGGAATTTCAAAAAAAAAAATAGCTGAGACCCATGAGACCGGGGAACGCCCTGGGAATTTGAGGAAAGACTCTGGGAAATAAAATACATAGAATTCTCAAATATTTGAAAATCAAATCCGAAAAAGCCAGTAAGTTCATTTTTGCCCGTTGCGATTGTGATGTTCGTTCAGCTTTTCTCGGTCCGAGAGTACGTTTCACGCGAACAGGCGGCTATGACGGCAGGCGGAAGTGTATGTGTGACATCGAGGCTGGTTCGGGAAAATCAAGATCTTCTTTCGCTTTCATAACACCTCCCAGAAATTTGCCGGGGAAGGTCTGATAACGCAATATTTGTGGCCTTCTGGTTTTGCAACATAAACGCTGTGTCGCCATGCAAATTAAAAAGTGGGTGGTTGTCGGGTGCTCTGGTGTGGTTTGCTTCTTTTTTCCTATGAAACGTCTATCATCCTTATCTCCCTCTTCTTCTTTTTCATGTTTGTTACTCTCTTGTAACACGTCTAATCTTCTGGCGCTCATATGACCTTATGCAGTTGCGAGCGCTGTAAAACCTCTACTAAAACATACTCTCCACCACCCCCACCCCCCTCAAGGCATTGCCACTGACTAAAGTGGTCTTTGGTCCATTCCCAAAGGGGGGATATTAACATGTTCTTATGTGCTGTAGAATTGTAAATGGGCTGATTTATCAACGTCATGCTCATACTGTGCCGAAACAACATAAGGGGAACTGCTGCTTTTTCTTTCCTTATATTTACTATCGTCATTTTTTCTCTACTTCTTTTGAATGTTTGTTACTCTCTTGTGAACTGCTATTTCTGGGGTGCCTTGATAGCTGAAGCAAACTTTGTGCTGTTGAGGCTAGAGAGATGAGTGAAGTAATCCTCATTCCCTGTGTAGACTTCCACCTCTTGTCTTTGTTATGTAACATGCCCCTGGGAAGTGGGTGAGCTTTCTGGAAAAGTGAGAAGCTGGTTTAGCAATCACCCTGTTTTTAGAATTATTTAATAATTTATTTGTTGTAATTTAGAATCATTTTTAAATTAAAAAATTTTTTTTTTTTTTTTTTTTTTGGGGGGGGGGGCTTGATGTTTTAAAAAAAGTAGTTTGAGTTCATCCTTCATCTGCTTATGTAAAAGTGTAGAAGCACTGCTAGAGTTCTTGTGTGTATCCCAGATGTGCTGGATATTGTTCCTTCCATACCAATAATTGTTCGGTGATAAGCTGACAAATTCCTCCCGTTGCAGCAAATTGTTTTAACTTGAAATATGTGACTATGTTAACTAACAAACATTCCATGATGTATAAAATCATTCCACATTTTCATAATAAATTTTTACAAAGAAATTTGCTGATTTGTGGTTTGAGTTTCATTGTTTCGTTTACATGTGTGCAAGTATTGGGTTAAATACATGTGAATAAGTATTCAGTTCGTTAAATTTTCTTTTTTTGTGTGCTTTCTTTTTATGTTGTTGATAAAAGAATCAGTAAGGTTGGGTTGTTTTTTTTTTGGGGGGGGGGTCTGTACACCTCTTCTGGCAGCAGTGGGTGGTTGGAGGGTGCAACTCTCTTATAGGTCCTACTTTTTTTTCATCTTTTATCTCCGACCGACTGTCTTGCTTTTTCCCAACAAATGAAGACCAACACTGTCGATGTGTTTCTCGTTACTTTACCTTTACACAAGCCTTTCTGAAGAGACATTGGACTGGTGTCTATGGTGCAGAGGTTAGGCTCTTCGCCATTGCACACATGAGACCAGAGCTCGATTTCCAAATGGGGTGAATTTTTCACGAGTATCCCAGTCTTTCTGCTGAAATGTTGTATTCCTCTCAGCCCGGGTTGCACCTGATAAGCCCGTCTCCTAAAATATTAATTGGGTTGATGGGATTGTAAAAAAACCAAAAAAACCTGCATGATAAAATGCGCTTCCGCAGATGCATTAATTAAAGGTGCAAATAGTCACAAAACGTAAGTACCTTAATATTTTTTAATAATATTAAAACAACTAAAATAAAGCTTCTGTCTAAATGATCCAAATTGTGTTCATTATCATCATTGCCTTTCTCACCCTGGATCAGGATATAGGCCACGACAAACATTCTCCACCTTTCCCTATCCTGGGCTAGTCGCTTGATGTCACTCCATGTCTTCCCACTTTTCTTTACATCCATTCCCCTGACTTCTCCAGGTTCCACGTGGTCTTCTCCTTGATCTTTTACCCTGTGGGTTCCAATCTAACACTTTCCTTGTTATGCAGCTGGTTGACTTCCTGAAAGTGTGTCCAATCCATCGCCAACGCCTTCTTCCTACCTCATCTCTGACTGAACTCTGTCTCGTTCTTCTTAATACTTCCTCGCTGGTGATCCTGTCTGTCCATTTGATCCCCAGTAGCTTTCTCAGACACTTGTTCAAGAAAACCTGGATCCTCTTTATGCACGTCTGAGATACGTTCCATGTCTCAAATCCATACAACAAGACTCACTTCACATTTGAGTTGAAAATCCATAGCTTTGTTCGTAGTGAGATATCCCTGGTCCTCCAATTCCTGTTCAAAAAAATAGATCTAAATGCAGTCTGTGCCTTTCCAATGCCGGACTTAATTTCAGCGCCTGTTCCCCCCTCTCTGTCAATTATACTCCCATGATAGCTGAAGGATTCTACGTCTTCTAGTGCGTTTCCCTCTACTATGGCCTGCTTTTTTCGTAGTGCATCTATCCATAAGATTTTTGACTTTCCGGGGTGGATCCTCAATCCAACAGACTCTGATAGTAGTAGTGATAGGCTGTTTAAAATTGTGGTCTTTGCATGCATCTGTCCCTGAATTTGTGACAGAAGCACAAAGTCATCTGCAAAATCCAGATCGTCCGACTGTGTCCATGGGGTCCTCTGTATGCCGTTTCTGTGTCCTCTGGTGGTTTCCTTCATCTGCCAGTCGATTGCCAATATGAAGAGGAACGGTGATAGTAAACATCCCTGTCTCACACAAGTCTTGACGTCAAAGATGTCAGTGAGCTGGCCATCATGTATAACCCTGCAACTTGTCCCTTCGTACATGCTCCTAATGAGGTTAATCAACTTATGTGGGATTCCGTGATGTCTCAGTATCTTCCACAGTGTTGCTCGTTCTATACTGTCAAAGGCCTTCTCATAGTCAAGAAAGTTGACGATCAACTGGGAGTTCCACCCCAGGGACTGTTCCACTATGATCCTCAACACGTGGCAATCTGGTTCGTGGTTGACCGACTTTTTCCTAAAACCAGCCTGTTCATCCCATTGGTATGGTTTGTTCCTTATCTCCTATTAAACATCTATGTGAGGCGTGCTGACAAAATGAGTTACTTCTCGCAAACCACGAATGGATACGTAGGCCGAAAATACACACATCAAATTTGTGAATTTTAAACTGATCCTTTTTTCTTCAAGTTTAATGCCTTTTATCATTCCATATGCAAAATTATATCAACCTAAACAATAACTTTGATATAATCTATCTGTGTCCATGAGACTGGAATTCGAAAAGTAACTCATTTTGTCAGCATCCTTCACATATCGTCCTTGAACAAAGAAACAATAAACAATAGGCGGGGACGCCAGATTAAACAGAGTGAGTGGTTGACGGGTGCTCTGGTGTCGTTTGCTTTTTTTCTTTCCTATCAAAAATCTATCGTCCTTATTCTGCTCTCCTCCTTCTTGTTGTGTTTGTTACTATCTTATACCACCTCTTATTAATATATTTGGCTCTTATACGACATTACTGTGCAGCAAGTGCCTTAAAACACTTACAAAATATTAAATGACTGTCTCCGAGAGAATCAAGCCTAATGAACGGCGAGCTGTGAAGAAAACTCGCGACACAAATTAGTCCAGCGGTGTTTGTGGTGTAGTTGGTAGGCGCTTTGCCGTCTCACACAGAACTGAAAATGTGTTTGAATAAACGAAGCTCAGGGGCCTTCGAGCGTTGTGGAAGACCAGAATGCGCGTCCCCAAAGAGTTTTTAATTTGGTCCAGGGAGGTTATATAGTTAGGTCCTTGGTTTGGTCCCAAATAGAGTTAAATGGTGCGCCTCGTTGTGAAATGGAAGTACGCCAGAGTGCACATACCAGCTCCTTCCATTTATCTCTGTCCTGTGACATCCTTCCAAGCTTGTTCCAAATGAGCTTCATATCTCTCATATCCCTTTCCACATGTCTCCTCCAGGTTTCCCGTGGCCTAGCCCGTGAGTTCCACTGCAGCGACTGTCTTGTGATGTTTCCGCTGGGCTTTCTGAAGGTGTGCTCTATCCATCGTCACTTTCTTAGTCCTATTTCTACTTATATATATCCTTTTGTCCTGTCCTTTCCAACACGTCTTCATTTCTTATTCTATCCTGCCACTTAATTCTTAGGATACTCCATATACATCTGTTGATGAAAGTCTGGACTTTATTCAGTATTGTCTTTGTTGTCTTCCAAGTTTCGCAGCCGTAGAGGAGGACAGACTTTTCATTGGAATTAAAGAGTCGAATCTTGGTGCGCAGTGAGATGTTGCTTGCTTTCCAGACATTTGATAGTTGATTGAAGGCTGACCTTGCCGTGGCTTGCTTTTACATCTACCTCAGTTCCACTTTTACCATCGATGACACTTCCAAGTTAAGTAAAAGAGTCCACTTCTTCCACGGGAGTGTCTTCCACTGTCACAGCAGGGCTTGAAACTTTTCCTAGCTTCACTACTTTCGACTTGCCTGGATGCATGCGTAGGCCAACACTCCTTGATAGGCTCTTTTCTTGCATCTGAGCATGTGTGTGAGAGATCAGTGCAAGGTCATCGGCGAAGCCCAAGTCGTCCAACTGCTGCCAAGAGAACCACTGCATTCCGTTGTGTTTGCCTCTGGTGGCTTCTTTCAGGACGCAGTGAATAGCCAGAATGAAGAGAAAAGGTGAGAGCAAGCATCCGTGTCGTACTCCTGTCTGTACCCGGAATGGTTCTGAGAGTTGTCCTTCGTGGAAACAGTGGGATCAGACTCGTCAATTTTTGGGCTTTAGCTCGATCATTTGCCTTGCTTTAGATGAGAAGCATCCATCTGTCTTGAATAGACGTCAGATGAAGGAGGTGAGGGTTGCCTTGTGGGAAAATAGGAGGGAAAATGGCTTCCAAAGTTTCGTGATTTCCAAAGCTTGAGTGTTCTTGGAAACTGTAAGTTCACATTTTTTGTGTGACTTTGATCATGTCAATGCTTTTCAGTAAAATCCATTCAGACCTATGTTCCTAAATAAACATAATGTGTTGAGCCAAAAAATAAATGAATGAATAGATTAATTAATTAATTAACTAATTAATGCTCGACGAGCGTTAAAATGCCACTTTTTTCGATTTCATTATTTTGACGAGCACCTGATTTCATCGCGTTGTCACACGTTATCTCTATCCGTGATGATAAGAATATTTGCCCAGCCTCTCCCACAGCACGTGTACACGATTCCTTGCAGTTGTTTCCCAACCCAGTTACCTTACCGTTACTAGATGTTGGAGTTGGACTGTTTTCACTTTGATTTTGACTCGTTGGACTTGTTTATTTACTCTAAAGCTGACATGGGATATTTATTTCCGTCTTCCGTCTGTCGTGTGTAAGGGATGGGCCTCAGAGACGCATTGTAAACTAGCTGGGCCCCAAGAAAGAAATGATCGGTGTATTAACATCAACTGAAAGTCTTTGGCCTACTATATACACTCTACTGGAATAGAGCAATAGATCTTTAGAGATGCACAGCATTAGAATTAGAAGGTCTAGATCTAGATCTATACTCTCAAAGCAAAATGCGCCTCACGAAATATCACTTCCTGCACAACCGCTGAAAAGGACAGCTCTAGGCAGATTTATTTCGTTTCTCAGTGGAATAATCACAAAGGCCAAAGAAGGACGGGAACTTTTTGTAACATATATTTGTCTAAATTTAGGAAATGAATACAGGTAAATAAAAAATACCAGGCTCCGTCATGGGGACCTAGCTATCTTTTTGCAGGTATTTGCCAACTTTCAACTCTGTAGCTGTCGTCGTTTTATGGGAAAAGTGACACGTGCTTCCAAGTCGCCAAATATAATTTTCAGCTGGGTTTCCCGTTCGATGAAGGGACTCAAAAGAATCGATAGTCAAGTTATTGTGGGATCAGTGCACGCACTCTCTGTGAACAGAAGCCTCTCTTGTTTACAATAGCGTCTTAGAAGACGGACTATCGCAAGATTAGATCTAAACGAAACTAATGAAAAACTGGAAATTAAGCTACAGTGACTTCAGACTCATCGGTAAAACTGTGCACCATTTAAATGATTCTGAACCATCGTTAACGTTTTTAAATCGGAAGTTAAGTGGTTCCGAAGTTTTTTTAGGCGGCGAAAGTGAGGAACTTTCACAAATATGATATGTACAGATTTTGAATGTTTTACGCTCCCGTTGACTCAATTTAGATTATAGATATTAAATAGCGTTTGTATAGCGCAAAGTCCCGCTCAACAGCAAGCTCTATGCGCTTTTCAATCTATACAGTGGAACTCAGATTCAACTCAACGGCAGGAGTTGGATTCCCCAATTTTCTAATTCATAAAAATTAATAAAAATAACTCGGATTCAATGAACACATACATGAGCAAGTTCGGATTCAACGATGTCGCTGGCAGGGTGAACTCAGTACATGTGTACATGCGACCAATCAGCGGTCTCCTTTCATACAAACACACACGTTATAAGCATGCACCCATGTCGTCGTTGTCTGGCAGACGGCCAGCACACGTGTGACTGTGTGTGCAAGTGTCTGGTTGGCTGGGAGGTTGAGGCACAAACGGTCAGGGCGTGGAACATCGGTAGAGAAACAAACGCGACACAGTTATTTTTCTGCCCTGCTATTAATCAATGATAAGCTAATTTTGACATAGATCTATGTTATGAATTGCTTGCTGAACTGTGAAATTAAGCGTTGCCGTATGCAAGGCTGTACACAGCAACATAACTTGCTTGGCAAACAGGCACACACGCACGCACACACACACACACACACACACACACACACACACACACACACACACACAAACACACACACACACACACATGCAGGGTTGGCAGTCCCCCTCGAAAGAGTAAATGATCAGCTTCGTCTGGGAAAATATAAAAACAAATTTTAAGAAAATTTGGAATAAAACAATTTCTAATGAAAGTCGGGCTGGAGTTGTTTTCTTATACGTACATTGATATAATGTGAGTGAGACAGATTATTAATAAAAGACCAAAGCAGTAGTTCGATACACACGCACACACATAAACATAAACTACACACACACACACACACACACACACACACACACACACACTGTCATTCATGCACGCACGCACTCACGTATGCACGCACCAACGCACGCACGTACCAACGCTTGCACGCATGCACACACGCACGCACACACACACACACACACACACACACACACACATACACGGTTGGCAGTCACCCTCGACAGAGGCAAAGATTAAGAAATCAATCTTCTGGTGAAACAATAACATTTTTGACACTAGCGTTTATATGAACATAATATTATAATATTGGCCCTTTTGCACAGCGTGTGCAGTGGCGGCGGGTGGACCAAAATTTGGGTGGGGCTTAGGCTTCCAATGCTTTACCACGAAATAACAAGCAGTTAGTACAAAACAGTGATGGTTTTTCTATACTCACGGTGAGCCAAGGCATTTTGAGAACCATTCAAACTCAAACGAGAAAAGTCATCTTTGTCTTCCATCTCTTTGTTCTAAGTTAAATTCTTCTTAATGGTGGGGACGAAACCGTTTTCCCCTCCAAATTTCTTCGACTTTCATCTCGTTCGATGTAAATACTCTTAATTCTCAGCGGCACAAACATAAACATGCACAAACAGCACTTCAAACAAACCCCGTCTATGAACTGGATAAGGCTGTGTATTCGCGAAAAGTAGAACGCACCTAACAAATGTGCAATGAGCGCAAAGGTAACTGTGTCACTGGGGGAAAGTCCCCTGATTCCACCACGCCGTGACACATTTGATTGGCTGTTTTGTTACTATAGTTGTAAGCGGTGACAAAAGTGGTTGGACAAACGAGCAGGCTGCAAAGTTAATCACTCTGTGTTCATTCCATGCGATCATAACGGTTTCAACTGCTTATTTCATCATTTAAAAAGCATTCATTTACTTTGGGGTAGAGTTGAGGGGTTGGGAGAGGGGCTCAAGCACAGGAGCCCTTCACAACCCACCGCCACTGAGTGTGTGCTTGGTAGAGTTCAGTGTATTTTCCTAGAATTTTCCAGCAATTGTTTGGTATCAAAGAAACGAAAATGCCTCTCATTTGAAACATAATTACTTTTGATTGAGAAAGTCGAATACATTATACATTACTTGCTCGGTGCCTGTAATTATCTACACAAAAATCTTATATTTGTCCTAACGAACACTCAGACTCAATGAAATTGAATTCCAGGCCCTACGACTTTGTTGAATCCGAGTTTCACTGTATTAATACCTCAGTAGACCTGATAGCATTCTGGTACAGTCTTAACTTCCTGTGAAGAATACAGTGCAACCTGCCATTTTATAAAGCACTAACATACTGACATGATCTTTCGCTGTCTATGACCGGAAACCCATTCTTACCGGGGTGAAGTGAGGAAAATTCGTGTGAAGTGCCTTTCCCAAGGACACAACGTATCGTGTCTGAGGCTCGAACCCCCTAACCCCCAACCTTACGATTACGAGCCCGGTACCCTAATCGCTTTACTACCGATCATTTATGAATACGAAATGTTACAGAAGAAATCTAAGAATATCCTGGAGAGAGAAAACAAATGAGAAAAAAAATGAAGAAGCACCATGAAGAATAGCCTGTAGAGAAACACCAACACTCCACCAGAACGTAATGACATTTAGAATGAACTCTTGGACATATCAAACGCCAGAGTCCGATGTTGTGTCCTTGTGAAAGGCACTTTACATGAATTTCTCATTTGACTTGACCCTTTCGGAGATGGATATTAAACTCGCCGGTCCTGCCTCTTAAATTAATAACCTAATGTTGTTGAAAGGGGTATTTAACCCATACGTGTATGTACTATTTCAACTTTTCAAACGCCATGATTCACAAGAGAAACATTCTGGAAGCAAACATAATATAGAAGGCAATAAGGAAAAGGAGGGGGGGGGGAGGACCTAACAGAAGACGGAAAAGGGGCATAGAAACCTGGCTTGGAACCAAAACAATACAAGCAGGCAGAATAGCAAAAGGCACAGTGTTTTATTTCAGAAGATAAGTACGGGAAGCAAGGGCTAACAATTGAAAAATCGGAGAAGAGGAAAGAGGAGGTGGGCACCCAGTGGGCAGCTTCGACACTGTCTTAGTTTATTAAGAGGTTTACAGCACTTGAAACACAGTCATACAAGTGCCGTAGGTTAGAGGTGATACAAGAGAGTAAAAAACACTAAAAAGAAGAGAAGGAGGACAATAGATGTTGGATAGGAAAGAAGGAGCAAACCACACCAGACCACCTGCAAACCACCCACCAACACTGTTTATCAGGGCCAACCTGGACTGGGTGGGATACACCATTCCAAAAGACAGACTAAGACAAGATAGGCTACTGGATTGAAAAGAAAATACCACAAGAGAATCGAACTTACGTTTTTCTGGGTGCATAGGTGAAGAGCCTAACCCGACTAACCGCCACACCACGAGCGCCAGTGGGGCGTTTTTTTGTGCACTTCGCCTTTCGCCAAAAGTACCGAACGATCCTGTCTTGATGAACAGGTGTGGGGAAGGGAGAGGGGAGGGGGAGCGGGGATATGAAAAGGGTTAACTCCTTTTCCTCCTTGGTATGCGGGATTGGCGACAGCTCTGGTGTGGTTTGCTCCTTCTTTTCTATCAAAATAAA